GCTCCGGCGGCTCCTCTCCCTCACCCCCAGGCCGCTGCCCCCACAGGGCCCCCTGGCACTGCGTGCCCCCGCAGCACCTCCCGGCAGGACCTTCAGCACCTCAGCAGGCTGCAGGAGCACCTTCAACGTGCAGGATGGCAGCGACTTCCAGGACCGGGTGGTGAACAACCCCAAACCTGTTGTGGTGGACTTCCACGCGCAGTAAGTTTCCCCCTACAGCTCTTGCACCCCTTTCTGCTGTCACATGTGCAGGTGTGTCCCTGCTGCTTTCCTGACACGGTGGCACTCTGGGCACACTGGGGATGGGAGTGTGCCTGAAGGCTTCCCAAGCCACGGAGCTGCCGACCGCCCTGCCGGGTGCCTGGTGTTAAAAGGTGCTTCTGCCCCTACAGCGCAATCCATAGAGGTTTCACTCATCAGGTTGTACCACTGTAAGTGTAGCTACACCCTGCAGGAGCGTAAAACACAAGTGCCAGGGAGGTGTTCCCCACGGTGACATAGCTGCACCTCCCAAGTGCCTAGGTGTCACCCTGGCCCCAGTGTTGCATCATCCTGCAAAAGACACCTCAAGAAAAAGCACTGATATCTCCCTTTTTTAGCTTTGTGGATTAAATGTCCTCTTAAAAACACTAAGTGATGTTAACAGCCATGGGAGAACACTGCACTTGGTATACCCCTGCACTGTCACATTGTGTCTTTCCAGTTTTCTTACGCTGTGTGCTCTTGAGGCAGGGCTTTTGCCAGCAACTGCCTTTATGTATTAACGACAGCCACGTGATACCAACTGCAGCATTTGTCATCAATAAAAACGTTGTCATCCTCTTGCCAGTAAAAATATTCCTAGATGTTATCTGCTGGATTAACGATACTGATTTTCTTTGTTTTCTCACATACTTTCGTGGTAGTCGCACAGTGCTGTCATGTGAGCCTGTTGTGGATGAGTCTGGGCAAACAGAGTATGAAACAGCCCCAAAACTTCTGCTCTAAATAGATTAAACTGACAAACCAAAATGAGCATTAATTGGGATCATCCAGGGAGGAGAGGACAAATAACTGAAAGCCTGGAACATGATACAGAGGGAGGCTGAGGAGGAACAAAGTTTATCAGAGCTTCAATTTTAAAAGAAAAAGGCACTTGGAACTTTAACTCATGTTTTCCATGAACTGAGTAGGTTCACGCCATCCTAGCTGGTGCAGTAAGAGGATGCAGGGGGTGTTTTCTGCCTACAGGGCCTCGCAAAGTCTGCTGTTGCTGCACCTGGGTCTGGAATAGGTGGTCTGTCTTTGAACAGATGCGATGCCTCCGCGAGTTTTGCAGCTGAAGGGGAATTTCTGTAAACCCTGCAATGAGTGCAGAGGGGAAGTCTATGGTCTGATGATTGGCATAAACGGATTTGAATGTGGGCTGGGACCCCTGCACCCGGCAGCGATGCTTGCTCTAGGGCAGCTTTGTGGTCAGCAAGGTCACAGCTCTGCATGTACGCACCAGCAAGGACACAAAGCAGGGTAGGGATGAACGGCCAAGAAGAGGGGGCAGGAGGACCACCAAGGCTGACAGAGCAGACTGCGGTGTGATCAAAATGACATCAAAAGTACTGTGAATGCTGAATGGTGACCTCTTCTTCCACTCAGCTCCCACCACTGCCGCACGCACAGAAAAAAAAACCCTTGGACAACTTCTGTGTGAGAGAGCTTGTTCTAAGCTGTGGTTCAAGAATAGTGTATCCAGGCTGGCTCTCGAATGGAACGTTGGTGGTAGAGGCACTGGTGTACCAGCAAGCCTTCCACAGCTGCTGCTGTGCTTGCCTCCTCTAATGTCCCCTCTCCTTTTTTTCCATCAGGTGGTGTGGCCCCTGCAAGATCCTAGGCCCCAGGTTAGAGAAGATGGTGGCCAAGCAGGAGGGGAAGGTGCTGATGGCCAAAGTGGACATTGATGATCACACGGACCTTGCTATTGAGTATGAGGTAGGAGCCAGAAGAGCACAGACTTTCTTTTGCTGGTGATGCAGAGAAGGTCCCTCCCTGGGGAGAGGCGTGCCTGCATGGCAGGGGAAGCCCAGTGCCTGGAGTGACCTGAGGGATCAGGAACATGATCAGTAGGTGGATTTCGCTGCTTGTCTCTCCTCCAGCTCTGCTGCTTGTGCTCAGCACCCCCCACCTCTAATTCTGCAGAAAGATGTCCTCTAACCCTTGCAGGCATCTGTCAATGTAAATGCTTGCCTGGCTTCGAGGAGCCTGCAGCAGCGTTTTACTGCGTGCATGGGCTGCTCAGGCTCAGGGCCAGAACATGAAGTAACAAGCCCCAGTCTGCTCTGCTCTTGAACATGGTTCTTCCTGCAGCCAGCCCGTCCTCTCTTCCCCTTCCTTGTTCAAGATTTCTTGCTGGGTGATAATGTTCTGTCCTTAAGCCGCAGCACAAGTAGATAACGTGGGATTTGTTTTGGACAGGTAGAAGCCAGGTCAGAGAACACGCATAAGCAACAGGAGCACACATACTGCTCTTGACAAGTGCTTGGTGCTTACACTAGGATTTTACATGCCTGTTGGGTGTGTTCCCTGTGCTGCCTTGTTTCCAGGGAGGAGCAGAGTGACTGGAGAAGGCCACGGCTTTGGTCTACATGATTTATTTTTTTTCCCCTGTGTCAGTGATTAGGTAGTTTAAGAAAGGCAAAAACTCCTCTGATGACTGTGCTCACCTCTGTTGGCTCTCCTTGTAAACAGCAGCTCAGTCTACAGAGTCAGGGCATCCTGCTGCTGTCTTATGGGGAAGAAAGCACTTAATTTTCACTCGCATATCAAACAGATGGAGCTGCTCCCCCTCTGCACATGAAGCCCTGCTCTGAGAGCGGAGGCTAGCACAGGAAGCTCCTCAAGTTGTCCAGCAAAGTGTGAACCATCTCCTGAGCAAGCTGTCATTTTGTTGAGCCCAGAGGAGATGCTCCTTGCCGTTCCCTCAGCCTGTTGTGCCGGAAGGAGAAGGAAGTGGAAACAGCTTTTTCCCTCCCCCTCTTTCCCAAGGAGATCTTTCTGCCTGTGCTGTGGTGGCGTGTCCACCCAGCTGGCGCCCACAAACATGACTTGCAGCTTCCACGAGCTGAGCATGAGGGCCTCCGGTGCTCTCCTTGGCGGTGGCGTGCTCACAGATACGCCCCAGGCCAAGGAGGGTGGCTGCTGGCTCCCAAGCAGGGCTACGTGTTGCAAGCCCAAAGGCTGCGTGGCTCGAGGGTGCTGGTGAGAAGAAGCTGAAGAGGGTGAGGTTGTTTCTGCAGTGGTCAGAAAGTGTGTAAATCTTAATAGATGCAGGCAAGGCTCTGGTAGCACCCACCCTAAGGAGGAGAGAGTAGAGTTATTAGCTTAACTCCTATAATTGTTCCGAGCCTTCCAGTAGATCGAATTAGCTGCGATTACAAGAGGATAATCTGAGATGACTGGAAAATGGCAAACAGAGTGTGAGCATGTGAAGAAAGGTCCTTAAAAAGAGGCTGAAAGTTCCCGAGTTATGCAGGTTTGATGACACGCTGGGTGTGCTCTCCCACCAGATGGTGAGGGAGCTGCTGGCACAGCCTGCTGTGTGCACACATTTGTCTGCAGGCTCTGCCTGTCTTTCAGCCCTGGTGGCGTAGGTGCAGGCAGGATTGAGGCTGCGGGCAAGGGCCGGCTTCCAGCAATTCGTTCTGGAGCCTTGTATACAAACATGATGAAGTTTTTGTTCTGCAGGAGGGCCTGGGGGTTGTCGCCACGTCCTCCGCTCTCGGAGTGATGCCTGTATCTGGTCTTGACCATTATCCCCTTGGCTAAAACCCCATCCCTAGGCAGTGTCTGTGAGTAGGATGGCTGCAAATGGGTAGGGGTAAAGGAGAAATTTTTGCTTAGATCTTCATAGTCTGGGGCATCCTTTTCAAGGCAGAAGTTTGGTTCGTGTGCTGAGAACGTGCTTGGTTTTGCTTTGTTTTTTGGGAGGTAGCCACTTAAGGAGATGTGAGCGTAAGCGCTGATGGGAAGACACCAAGTCAAGATCAAAGAGAGACCAAAGGTAGTGTTTGGGAGAGATCAGGAAAACCAGAGGTTTGGGAGGGATCAGGAAAGATTTATTTGTTTTAATCCATTCCATTGGGGATCAGATGTCTGCAGGCTGAGGAAGTTTTTGTTTCAGGGGTTTTCAGCATCCATGCCACCCCCACAACTCCTCCACTAGCTGCCAGGAAGTTTCCTTCCATCCATGTTTATTCCCCTGCCCACACATACAGCCCCCGCCTTGCCAACATGATTGCACAACGTAGTCTTCAGCGGCCTCCTTGACACAGGGGGAGGCAGGGTGAGGGGGAGAGACCCCCCTGGAAGTTGCCGGCACATTCCTTCACACGCACTGTCTGCCCTTGGCTCCCAGCCGTCCTGGCTTAGCATGAAGTGGGGACGCGTTTCCTGCTACTAGAAACATCCCCGGCGCCCTTCCCCGTCCGGTTATGCCCAGCACAAAAGTTCTTTCTCTGGGGATTCCTCCTTTTATCTAACACCTTTCATCTCCGGTTGTGGCCTTTCTCCACTGCTCCAGCCCGCTCCTGACCTCTCACCCCGAGAGCAGAAAAGGAGAAGGAATACTTTTGTTTAATCTGCCGTCTCATAAAATTCTTTAGATTCATCTCTTGCCTTGGCCCATTGCCCTCACGCATGGCCACTGGGAAAGGGCAGCCCCTTCTCCGGCCGCTGCAGGTGGGCAGCTCGGGAGAGCTGCTGGGTACAGGGACATCAGTGGAGCTCTGTCCTGTCTTACGCCTTATTCTGAAGCCTGGGTGAAATCCTCCCCCCTGCTCCATTGTGTGGCATCCAAGCTTGTATAAAAGCTCCAGTTTCAGATAGGAGAGAAATTCTTTGGTATGGGTGCTGCCAGGAACGGCCTGGATGGCCATGTTTGTTTATTTGTCTGTGTGGTCAGCGCTGATCAAAAGCAGCCTGACTTTTTCTCTAGAAATACTCTTGAGGGAGGAGGGGGGTTTGTTTAGCTTCAGTGCAGATGGGACCCAAAAAAAGAAAGGGGAAAAAAAAAAAGGGAAAAAAAGGCCCCAACTTCGCCTTCTAGAAATTCCCATGACATTTGCTTCTCAAGCAGCAAAACAAAGTACGTGCTCCATTAACGGGCTGCCCTAGCTGCAGCTAGCAGGAAGGAAGCTGTCAAAAGCGCCGGGCTTTC